ATATTCAATCTCTTATGGGTATTTTTTTTCCTTTTATTTTATTTAGAAATATGGGTGGTTTTGAACTTTCCCCTATTAAGTTTTTATTATTTTATTATTTTTTATAATGTATTCCCTATTATGTTACCAATTAATATATATATATATATATGTCAAGGTCCATTTAGCAGTAAATAGGTGTCGTATTGTGATTGATGCTGTCAGGTAGAGTAGCTTCATGTTGTAATTGTACTTTTGTTTTCTGTTCTATAGAAGAAACAAATGGATTTTGCACTTGCTTGACATTATGGAGTTGTTTGAGGATGTCTGGTACATAGATTCGTTCTCTGATTCAAATTATGGTTCGTGGTTCGTTATAATATTTTTTCTCATAAAAAATACACGTAAATCGAAAATGCTTCTAATCACATGGTTTTAATCCATGAACCAAAAGTCTTCTGAGAGATTCGTACCCCGATTCGAATCATAGTTCGTGATTCGTTATAGTGTTTTCTCTCATAAAAAATACACGTAAATAAAAAATAATTCTAATCCATGAACCAAACGTGTCTCCTGTAATAAAGAAATCCATGTGTTAATATTAAAAAAATAACATATTTTTAGCAGACGAATATTTAATAATATTTAGTAATTACTTAGCAACAGTTTTATCTAAGTGCCCACGTTAAGCAGTTTGGACATGATGGAATAAAGCAGTGAATGTACTGCTACTGTAGTGTCCCTACGAATTCTTATTTTCTTTTATAATTTATATCTTTAATTTGTTGACTTTGCACCACTTTTGTTGTGTGTATATATATATATATATATGATTAATGGTATAAAGAATATATTTGGTTCCTTTCCGTCTGCTTCAATAGGTCTTTTTCAGGGAGCTTAATTAAACTACAAAATTTTAAATTAAATTAATTGTGTAATAGAGTATTATTATAAGTAAAAATTAAGAGTGTAAATGAAAATTTTTTAAATGTGCTGCACAATATAGAATTAAAAATCTTTAAAGGGACAAAATAATATAAATTTTGTATCAAACTTAAAGATATAAATAAAAATTATTTAAAATTTAACATAAAATTTAGAAATGGAAAATTTTAGGGGGGCTAAACAAGAAAAAATATGCAAATTTTTTTTTTTTTGAATAATAGTAAAGAAGCTAGGTGAGGCTCGGGAGGGCTGCAGCTTTCTCTGGATCTTAGCTAGCTACGTCCCGGCCATTAATCCTTTAATTACCAGTAGAGACACCCATAAACGAATTATCGTTTCTAAAAATTCTGCTATCATTATAGTAATCATGATTAAGGGAAAAAAAAGGTACCGTTTTGTACCTAAATTTTGGAAAGAGCTCTCTTATTTGATTAATGGTCAAAGAAAGTGCCAAAGCCTGAGAATATTGATGTGCATGGGTGATTAGGACCTTGTTCTAGAAGTTTTTCCAAGAGATGGTATCTGATCATTTTAGAAGACGTTTGGTTTATGGATTAAAATCATTTTTGATTTACGTGTATTTTTTGTGAGAGAAAATACTATAGCGAATCACGAATCATGATTTGAATCGGGGTACGAATCCCCAACCAAACAACTCAAAAATATTTTCTTAAACTTGAAGGAAAAGAGAAAAACAAAACAAAACAAAAAATCTGAGCAGTGAAGTAGGGGACTTAATACTCACTCTAGCTACTTTAACAGTTCAGATGTCACTTTGAGTAGGGAGAAGCTTGTGATCACTAATCACTTGGGAGCTACTCATGCATGATCAGAAACAAAGGTTGTTGTAACTATTCAACTTAATTTCTTGATCTAATATAATAAGGAAACATATATTTTTGTCTAAGTAACAATAAGGGCCCCTTTTATTCACGCCTTTAAATTAATGATTTTGATTAATTGACAAAAATTTTATGAGAGAATCATTACTAGGAATTTTTTTATTCAAATTATTTTTGAGAAAAAAATAATATAACAAAATTAAAATCACGAGTTTAAATACATTGATCAAATATGACCTAATTGACTAGTGTGTATGATTTTGGCTCCAAGACAAGCAAGGTAGTTTACTAACGCTCTTACTCAAAGAAGCTGTCTCAATTAGTGTTCAGCTCATTTTATGTGATGTAGTACAACGTACTAATATTACGTAATTAGTACTCAATTGAATTGGTTAAGAGTGATGAAAATATATACTAGTGTCTCACATCTTTGCTGCATGTTTATTGACTTTCATACACATACAAGAGCGTATTATGAGCGCATTTGTCCCAATTAGATCTAACTTACTCATATACGTCAAATTTTAATAGATTAAAACACTTCTTTTAAACTCTTTTTCAAAAATATTTAGAACCCATAGACACATTATTATATACTAGTCTTTAGCGCCCGCAAACATTTAAAATAATATTTTTACGCATTATTTCTTTTTTGAGAAAAGAAAGAAAAGAAAATATGACACCAATAAAAAATAAAGATAAAAGCGGGAAAATAGCTGAAGCAAAAGACAAAAAAAAAATTTATGAACAATTTAATAAGTTTTATAAATGATTTATCTATAAAACAATTTATAAACGAAAAAGTTTAAACAATTTATAAATAATTTATTTTTTTAAAGAGTCCTCAATTTTTTTTTTACTTTCATTTTAAAAACAATTTATTCAATTTTTTATTCCTTTTTCGATGAATGTTATGCTGATACGTGCCTATTTACATCATTGCGTTTTAAATTAATTCTATTTTATTTTGTTTAATTTATTTTTTTGTTTAATAAGGTGTGATTTTATTTTAGTGTATTTTATTTAATTTTATTTTAGTGTGATTTTAATTGATATTGTTTTTTCAAATTATTTACAGCAATTTAATTACAAGAGTATGAAAAATTCGGTACAAAGCGGTGTTAAAAATAACAAAATCAGACTACAAATAATTCTAAAATAAATAAATAAATAAAGACAATAAACAAAATAATAATACAAAATAAATTTTTGCACAAAATACCCTCTCCTCCCTCACATGAGACCCACACCTAAGGATGAAAATATCGGTATCGATAGAAATATCGGTACTCTAATTTTACGAAAATATAAGAGAAAATATCAATATCGGTAAAAATATCAAAAAAATTTACAGAAATGATAAAAATTTACGTTAGAACATATTTTTAATACTTTTTAATAGCATCAACATTAAAAAGATACATAAATAAAAAAGTTTTACATAAAAAAAATTCATACATATTGCATATCTTAATATCAAAACGAAGTTCTATGAAGCTCAAATGTTATCGGGATCAGATCTTGATTCAAACAATATTGGTATTATGACATGTTATTTGAATAATGTCGAACATAATTATGAACGCGCCACATGGAAGTTTGTTGATCCATTTTCACTGTATTTTTATAATATTTCAATATTTCAACCGATATTTTTAATATTTTTCTGATATCGATATTTCAATCGTTATTTTCAATATTTTAACGATATTTTTAATATTTTTCTAATATTTTGTCAATATCAATATTATAGTGGAACAAAATTTTAAAATCCTTAAAAATCCGAAATTTCTCTCTCTTTCTCTCTTTTCCTACACTCTCTCTCTCTCTCTTCCCAGGTGGGGGACCCACCACCATTCCCTCTATTTCTACCCCTCCCGTTTCTCCAGCAGAGAAAGCCAAAAAAAAAAAAGAAAAAGAAAAAGCCATGTGGCAAACTGTGGGGGAGAAACCGCTCCAAAAAAAAAAAAAAAAGGGTCCTTCTCTACAGGAGGTAATAAATACATACTGATTTACTGTACATTTTGCTCCATAAATTTGAATCGTCGAGTTTACCTGTTTTTTTACCCTTTCTTCTCCCTTTATTGCACAGAGATTTTTTGAGTCTTTTCTTGCCCTATAGTTCAATTGTACACTTTTATCTTCAATTTTTTATTTCTTTATTTGTTTTTGTATATACTAATTTATATCAATTATCAATAAAAATCCATTCATTATTTTAAATATATATCTTAACAATTTTCTTTTTAAATTTCAGTTCTGAACTAAAGACAACAGACCCACCTAAAAAAGACCCAAGGACCAGATAATATAACTACTTTTAAATCTTTTAATTTACGCTACATATAATTAAAAAATTTTAACTTCCTTAATTATTATTATTATTTTTTTAAAATTTGTATTTTACAGTTAAGAAGAAGAAAAGAAAAAAGGAAAACAAAAGCTATAATACATTGTAAGAAACTAAATATTATATAGATATATCTATATGTTTATATGTATATATAAATTAATATTATACTATAAAAATTCTAAACTTTTTATATAATACAACAGTATTTTTCACAATAAGACGTGAAATTTTTGGCTAGTGTTAACTTAAAAAGAGTAATGGGGTGTTTGGTATATAACCAAACATCCACTAAGTTTCGAGTAAATGGATAGGTTATACAACATAATTTTATGCCTTAATCTTAAAGAAGATATTACAGCTTAACATGTGGTTAACAGCTAGCATATATGAGAAGTCAAAAAGATTTAAGATTATACATATAAGGACAAGGACATATAAAAGGACGTTAAATTTAGTGCATTATACGTATGCTTGCTTCAAAAACCAGACTAGTAAGAAAGGGTCACAAAAGGACAGAAAAATGTTCCATTCTCTCTCTCTCTCTCTCTCTCTCTCTCTCTCTAGAAGTTTTTACGCTTTGGATGGAACTTGTAAGATTTTGTAACAAAAGCAGAAAAGCATAATAGATAGAAGAAAAGAAGAGGCCAAGTTGTATCCAACAAATTTAACCGTCGATTGGGTGCCAAATTCCAACCGTCTGAGTGATTAGGTTCCAATACGCATTATTCGGTTTTCTACTGATCATCTTCTACTTTATATTAGTCTCATTAACCTTTGTCTTTAAGATGGTTTTTTTTTTTTTTTTTTTTTTTAAACAGAGAATTAGTATGTTTAATATGATTAAATCAAAGACAGGAAAAAGAAAAAAAAAATTATTTTTATAAAAAAGTTTAGTGCTTTCACCAATCACCAAAGGAGTTTTCAACTTTTACAGTGCATGCATAGCAACTCCATGTTTATTGATCAGGGTAGGGATACCAAGAACAATCACAGATGTCCTCTACAAACATTATGATTAAAATCAAAAACTCAGTTGCCCATAATATCACACGACAGTTTACATTCACATTCAAGAAAATTTCGTACCCGTTTAAGAAACCAGCGCATCCGCGTCCAATACCTAAGGCCGGATTGAAGAATCGCCATCACAGTGGAGTCAAACCAACCACACCTGTGCACAGGGTTTCAAAGGAAGCAAGTTTAAGATTATTGCGATTTTTATGAAATGAAAAACATTTTGCACTTCTAGGCATATAACAAAGCACCATCTCCGAAAACATCAAAACTATTTTACACAACATCCGCCAAGTTCAGAATTTTTCCATTTTTAACTTGGCTAGAAGGCCATGAAATAAAGTTTTATGATGCCAGGACACTGATAAACTATCTTATGTGATCAAATATTCTGTGTGCATAAAAGTGACAGTTGTTCATCCAGGCAAAGTTTAGGCAGGCAGGTACTTCTGTTCGGTAATATCAACAGGACAAACAGAGACTAGTTAAGAAGACAAAGAGCATGAGAAAATGGACAAGTTTTTCTCCTTCAAAGTTGGGCATGAAACTTTAGAAGAGTAAGCTTGAGAAACTATAAAAGATAACTCAAACTAGATATAATCCTCTTCCAAACTGCCACACATGAAAAGTGAATTTCGCTCTTACCGCATGCCAATCTTCCACCTGCATTGCCAGTGGTTAAGCTAAGTTCATGCCCACCTGCAAATGCGAATCCAAATGAGAGTTAGGAGAGAGTCATTCAAAACATTAGAAAGAGGTAACAAATTCATAGTGAGCAGAAAGATATGTAAGAGTATAAACATCTAGACATTGTCCAATTATTTCCATTTGACGTTACGAAAGGAAATCTGCTTTCCATGTTGATCAAGAATTCCATTGTCTACTCTTGTACTCTCGTATATTAAAATCTAGATTGAGACTATCAAAACCACATGCAAAGGTGAGATTGGAAGAAAATTTTGAGCATGAAGAAATACATACCCTTCCCAAGGTCATCCTCGAGCTCATGAACCACAAAAGCCCTTCCAACTACAGAATTAGGACCACCCAGTGGTATCTGCACATATTAGCCAAAATTAGGTACTACGTGTCTCCACAGACGTAGAGGTAACAAATAAGTATGTCAAATCACTAGCTTTAAGCATCTCTCATGTAAGATTAAAAGGGTGCCTCCCCACATGTTAAACGAAGACATAATTAAGTTTCAAGTATTACCTGATTATCTACAATTGTTGCCTCTGCCACGCCTGTATTCCCAAAATTTGACAAGTAATAAATAAGAGTCTCACATTACAATTAAAAGAAAAATGCATGCGTACATCATTTTAAAGAAATTACCCTCAGCATTGGCAATTATGTTTCCCAGGTCACCCGCATGACGGACTTCATTCTCAGGAGCACCGTGTGTCAAATTGTTAGGATTGAAATGTGCTCCTGAATAAGAGATAAAAATCACTACAATTCTTTCACAAAAGATTCACATGCATGACTTCATCAACTTATGACATTCAAAAGTTAAAATCATTTTGAGTTTGAAAAGCAATGAAGCCTTACCTGTGGAAATGCAACCATTGGTCGTGTCACCATACTCGTGCTAGATGATAGAAAGGAGTAATATGAGCATCTAAATTGATCAGAAATCACTACAGAGATCCAAAAAAGAAAAAGAAAAGAAGGAAGCCAAAGAGAATTTAATAATCACCAAGTGGAACCCATGAGGCCCAGGAGTAAGTCCAGTAACACGGACATTTACGGTTGTAGGACCTGCAGCAAATGAATGTTTAAACTACATTAGATAGCCATTAACATATGAGATTAAAGACATAGAGAACCTTGACTCTCACACGCTCATAACTTATCACTCAAATTATGTCCTGAACACCATTCAATAACATCAAAAATAAGATAATAGTGGAGTCTAAAAAGATAGAGCTTTTGCTTCAACTTTAAAGAAAGACATAGAAATGTCACAAAAATGGGACTCCAAGTTTAGGTTATGGACTTGTTCTAGAAATTTCCCAAGTGACCCAAATTCGAAATAGAGTTTCACATGCATTGTGTTCACTTGTTTTTCAACTTCCATCAACAAGCACATACATAAACAATCAAGCATCCATAAAACAGAAGAATTGATATATGCAATACCAGAAATGAATGTCCCTAAACCGCCCTATACAAAACCCTATATATGGAAAACTTCTCATTTTAATCTGATTAGTTAAATTCAACGCCAAGAACTGTGCAGTATGCTTAAAAAGTACCCCAAGCGCTGAAATAAACAATTTCCAGAAGGCTAGAACATAAGTTCGACCAAAATATAACATGAAAATACAAATGACTCTTCTCTTTTTACTTAAAGGAAAGACCCAAGGAAAAAAAAAGAGAGAGAAAAAAAGAGTGAAAAGCAACTTCTTAAGTTTAGGTCATTGGAATGTTTTAGAAAATCCCCCAAGTGACCCACATTTTAAATGAACTAATGAAGTTTTACATACAAACTCCTTTCACTAATCCCTCGCCACTTCCATCAATTCCTAGAGGACTAGGATTAAGCACATCCATACAGGGAAAATTGGATTAAGCACACCCATTTAAGGAAAATTTAGCAAACTTAGGATATGGACTTGTTTATAAATTCCATAAGAAAACCACATTTGAAATGAAGTTTCACACACATTTCCTTGCCCAATCCCTCTATACTCAACCAAAACCTGAAGTATAAAAACTAATTACAAAGAGTAAAGCACACCCGAAAAAAAAAAAATACACTTCAAATTTAGGTCATTTGCTTTTTTTTAGAAATCTCCTTAAGAAACCAACGTCTCAAATGAAGTTTCACACACATTCCCATCACTAATCCCTCTCTATTTAACCAAAACCTGAACTATACAAATTAATAACAAAGGAGTTATGCACACCCACACAAGGGAAAGAAAAAATACGGGGAAAAAATTCAAATTTGGTCAGGGGTCAGGACTTGCTTTAGAAAGTTCCCAAAGAAACCCACATTAGAAACGACCAAACAGAAAAGAGCCCAGAATTCAAAACTTGAAGAGAATGCTAGCAATAAAGAATTAAGCAAACCCAGTTGAAGAAAATAAAATTAAAAAAAGGAAAAAAAAAACCCCCCTTCAAAATTTAGGTTATAGACTTGTTTTAGAAATCTCACATAAACTTGGAATGAAGGCTAATAACAAAGAATTAAGTACACCAACTTAAGAAAAATAACAACGATAAATGAAAAAAAAAAAAAAAAAAAAACCAAATTATTGACTTTGTTGCCAAATCTTCACAAGAAAAACATTAAAAAAAAAAAAAGAGGGAAGAAAACCCATAAAAGTGAAACGCACCGTCGTCTTGTTGGGTCAAGGTGACGACGCCTTCAACGTCGGAAGTGCCCTTGAGAACGGCGACGGCGTTCTTGGTGGCGGCAGCGACGATGGAGAGTGGCTTTGGTGCTGCAGAGAGAGAAAGTGAGTGGAAGTTGGATTTTTGGTGGTCGAGCTTGAAGGAGACGCCATGGAAGGAGGAAGAGGAAGGAAGAGGAGAGTGGGAGAAGAAGAGTGTTGGATTGGGACATGGTGAGGAGATGATGATTGAGTGAGCCGCCATGAATGCCAGAGCAGCAGCTTGCATTGATTGGTGGAGATTGAGATAAAAAACTGATAATGTATTTTATCAAATCACGAAGAGAAGGTTCTGGTTGCTCCTGAGTGTACTAAGACCTGGACGGTCTACTGGTTGGTTAGTCATTCTTTTTTCTTATTTATTTTATTTTTCAAAATTTTTTTGTCTAAAGAGACGTTTGGTTAATAAATTAAAATTATGATATTAGAATTATTTTTAATTTATATGTATTTTTTATGAGAAAAAATACTATAACAAATTATGAATCATGATTCAAATCAGGGTACGAATCCCTTAACAAAACAATCCCTAAATAGATTAAAAAAATAGCTGTAAATTTGTGGGTTTAACCGTTAGTTTCTATCATAATAACAGTAAAAATAAGTAATTAGTAATTTTTTATTTTTAAATCGTTAAATTAGTATTAAAAATTATATATTTTATGTATTTTTTTAATCTAATGTAATTTTAATTATATTCAATAATAAGAAACAAGCACGAAACCCACAAGAGAAAGTCTAAAAAAACAACAATTCTACATTTTTTTTATTATCACTAGATTTATAAATTAAAAAATAGATTTAGTGCTCGTTTGGTAAGTGTATTTGAATCATGATTTGTGTTTTGATTTAAACTCGTTGTGAGAGAACTATTGATCATAATTTCTTTTTATTTAAAATTTTTTTGTGAGAAAAAAATTATGTAGCAGAATCATAATTTAAATTTGAATACATACTCCAAATAAAGCCTTATTGATTGGAATGACTATTTCTTTTAGATAGAAATAAATAGCATTTTTATATTAATTGAAAGCAAATAGATGATTACTTCAAAATATTTTTAAAATCTGTTATCTACTTTATTTTTAGACAAGTAATTTCCTAAGCTCTTTAATTAGTGATAACTTAGTCCGTACTCATTTAGTTTTGACAAAAAATACCCTTAAATTATTTAGGATTAGAGGTGAAAATTTAAGACTGACAGGCTCGGGCTTGACAATCCACATAAAAATTTTGGACCTGGTCTTGTAGTGAAGGATCTCAGAGAGATGATGAGGTTGCGATGATGTCGAAGAAGGTAGGAGAGAGAGAGTTCAAAGAGCGGGAAATGGGGGATGGAGAAGGAAAAAAGAGAAAAATGGTATGGAGGAGAGATCATGAGAGAAGTCGAGGAGACAACCTGAAAAATTTTCCTCATTTAGGGTGTGTTCTTTTCAAAATTCAAATCTCAACTCGAACTTTTTTATATTAGAAAAAATACGATAATAAAAAAGTTTGAATTTAAATTTTCATGAGACAAATAACTGTAACAAAGATTTCGTTTATTTTATCGATTCGAGTTTTTTATTTTAGGTTTTTACCGTTAAAAGTTTTAAAAAAATGTCACGTCTAACTTTTTTGTTATAGTTAAAAGTTCTTAAAAAATATCACATCTCAACTAGAATTAAAAACTTAAATCTGTGAAGTAAATGAGACAAAAAAACTTGAATTGTGATTTATACCGTATACTAATTAATATAATCACGATTTTATTAATATCAAAATTCTACTACTCTCATAATATTTAAAAGTTTGGCTATATTCAGACTCTGCTATAAAACTGCTATATGTGTAAAGAGCCCCCTTTTTTTTTTTTTAACCCACAACGATTATATGAATCCGTGATCTTACCTCAAAAAATCTATTTAAAAGAAAAAAAGGTGTTGTCGTTTATGTCATGAACTTTGCCGTTTCTCACTCTCCTTCACCTCATGCTTGGACTGGCCACCAAAACCCCTTTTCTCAGATCTAAACCTTATTTGCTTCTTCCTTACCCCCAGATCTGAGAATATCAAAATCTGTCTTCATAACCATTTACTATTCGTCACTGAAATTTGTCGAAAAGATGTTGAAGATTCAGGCAAGTCGATCTAAACCCAGCCTCTTTGCTTTTTTAAATGGCCTTGGATTTGGACGTACGTCTTTTACTTGTTCCGCTTCTTCTTTTGCTCTGTTTAAGAATAATTTTATAGCTCACATTCATTCCAAATCCTCTCCAAAAGACGGCCACAGAACCAAAATAAACAATACCCATTTCGAGAATTTTAATGTTGAAGCTGCTTTGGATTCCTTTCCGAGGATGTTCCGAACACGTCCTCTTCCTTCTATTGTGGCCTTCACTCAATTGTTGGGTAAACTCGTCAGAACCAAACATTATTCTCGTTATTTCTATGTTTAAGCAAATGGTTATGCAAGGAATCAAGCCTAATGATTACACTTTCAATATTGTGATAAATTGCTTCTGTCATTTGAACCAAATGCCATCCAGTTTGTGTGTTCTTGGAAATTTTATTAAATCCGATCATAAACCCGACATTGTGACCATGAGTACTCTGATCAAGGGGTTTTTCCTCGAGGGTAAGGTTGCTGAAGCAGAAGAGTGCTTTAACAAACTGAAGAAGGGAGGTTGTAAACCTAATGTGATTACTTTTAACATATTGCTCGATGGGAATTGTAAAATGGAAACAGTGTTGCAGCTATTCTCTTGCTTAAAAAGACGGAAAGAGAGGAGAACCGCAAGCCTGACGTTGTTTCTTACAACACAGTTATTGACGGCCTTTGCAAGGAAGGGCTACTTGCTCATGCTTTGGACCTCTTCTCCGTAATGATTAAAAAAGATGTTGTTCCAGACATTGTTTCGTACAGCACCTTGATTCATGGGGTGTGCATGATAGGGAAATTGAAAGAAGCTATGAGATTATTTAATGGAATGGTCGACCGTAATATCTCTCCTAACCTACGAACTTATAGCATCTTGGTCGATGCTTTTTGCAAAGAAGGGAGGGTCGCGGAGGCGCAAGGTGTGATAAAAAGTATGATTGAAAGAGGCATCAAGCCAAATGTTGTGACGTATACTTCACTAATTGACGGCTATTGTTTGCGAGGTGAAATTGATGACGCAAGAAAAGTGCTTGATGCGATGATTGAAAATGGTTGTGAAAGTGATGTATATAGTTATAGCATTTTGATAAACGGATATTGTAAGAAGAGGATGATAGATGAGGCTTTGAGACTGTTTGAAGAAATGACATCTAAGGGATTAGTTGCGGATATAGTTACTTATAGCTCTCTTATTGATGGCCTGTGTAAATTAGGGAGAACTCAGGGCAGCCACCAATTTGCTTCACAAGATGCTATTTTACTCGATGGCTTGTGTAAAAATGGAGAGCTTGACGAAGCAATAATTTTGGTTCAAGATGTGGAAGAGAAGAAGTTACCTCTCGATATCGTGATCTACAATACCCTTATTGGTGGCATGCTCAAAGTTGGAAATCTTGCATCTGCAAAGGATCTCTTTTTCAAATTACCATCTAAAGGCTTACAATATAATGTGAGGACTTACACCATAATGATCGATGGACTTCTTAGAGGAGGTCTCGTAGTTGAAGCTCTTAATTTGCATAAGGAAATGGAAGAGAAATTATGCCCTCCTAATCCGTGGACTTGTTCATAACGATGAGATATCAAGAGCTTTGCAGTTTAAGGATGAAATGGTGGCAAATGGTTTCTCTGGAGACGCCTCAACTTATGAGTTGTTTGTCGATTTAGTCGCTAAGGGTAAATTAGATCCTTGTGGTAAAAAAGAATTATGTAAGTTGAATATGTTATTTTACTATGAGAAAATCAATATATTGTACTCTATTTTTTAGTTTATTTCTGCTTACATGATTTGCATGAACATCTTGTTCTAGTTATGGATGTCAATGGGGCGGGACAAATGATGTCCCGTTCCGTCCTTAATGGGGTGGGTTTGACCCGTATATATTAGTTTGTAGGGTGGTGCAAGTCAAGACCCGTAAAGTTGCGGTGCGGTTCGAGGCGGGTCCAACCAAACTTACCCCATTTTTAACCTCAAATTTTTGTACAATTATATTTTGACCTAAAAAATTTTATAAAAAGTACACTTCAACCCTAATTTTTTTTTAAAAATTTCGACCCTATATTTTGACCAAAAAATTATTAAAATTTTAAATTTTACGTCACAAAATATCGCATTATATTATGATAATATAACACAATATAATATAATACAAACTATCAGACATGACTTTAGTGTTTATTTAAGGATTTAGGAAAATGGCTAAAAAGGTCCTGAAATGTGAGCCCATTTTTTCTTTTTTTTCCTGTCAATCTAGTGGTTTTATTTCTTTGACCGACAATTTTTTTTTTTGGTTATTATCAATTCGTTTATGGGCATTGGTTAATATACAAGTTTTGTTTCTGGGCATATGTTTTTTTTTTAATTTCTACCGGTGCTCTTTGAAATCAAGTTTTTGTTTTCTTTTTTCGGGTTTTTTTCCTTCTAGAAATGAAATTTACTAGTCTTGGTCCCCAAAAAAAAATGTCAAGTTATCCTCCCTTATTCCTCAGAAAAAAAAAAAGAGGTTTCTGAGTTTAAATTCTGAATTTTGTTATTGATCTACACCTGTTTTTTCCCTTTATAAATTCATGTTATGGGCAGGTTTTTCAGGTGTTTGTGTAGTTAATGACTCATGTGAGGATTAATACTTGTGATAGATCTGATAATGAAATTGTGATTGTTGACTTGCAAGGATTTTGCGGTCAACTTTGTTACTAAAGACTTATTTTCAGTTGGTGATCTCTCATTCTATCCAGTAAACATGAATTATCTACCAAAGGAGCATTTTAGGCTCAACCCTTAGGTTTCCTTTTCTTTGGCCATGTTTATTTCACCAATTCGAGTTTTCAATTTCAATTTGCTACAATTAAAAGCTCTCACAAAATATCACGTCTAACTTTTTTACTACAATAAAAAACTCTCACATAAAATCATATCTCAATTCAAATTGAAAACTAAAATTGGCAAACTGAACGAGCCTTTTATCTAGTACACATTACGGGTTTCGTTAACTGGCGGTCCTCAAAATTTGGTGAGTGTTGGATGCATTGTGCCGATTTGATCTAATTGTGAAATATAGGCATAGAAGTTGCAGTTATATACCATAGGCAAAGAAATTATACGAAATGCCTGGAAAATAATATCTTGATTCACTACAACTTGATGTCTTAAAGTTCTTCACTCTATTTTTTTGTAATCTTTCTTTGTTTTTTCTGTCATAATATTTAGACTTAAGAGTATCGGTTTCTGATAATGAGAATAAATTTAGAGAATGAAAAGTATTGCAATGGTGATTTAGGATGTGAAATCTATTTTTACATCATCCGATTTGTTTATATATTTTTTGTACGGAATCCTTTTAAAAATGTTTCATGATTTTGCCCTTATCAACATCTGTGTCTTCAATTTTATTCCAACTCAGTTTATAATAATGTTCTATAAGAAACGAAATAAAATAATAAAAAAATCTGTCTCTCTCTCATTCTTTGTTGCTTAAAAAATCTCTCTTAGTTAAATGATGATCATGACAATGATCACATTCTTTCTAGCTCTGAAAGATCTCCGTTTTCCTCTTCTTCAAAGTGAATTAGGCAAATTATATATTGCATCAAATACATAATTATCTAACAGGTAGGGATTTTCAGGGGCGGGTTGGGAGAAGGCAGAACCGCAAACCGCCAATGGAAGGACAACCGGTTGCAGGTGGGTGCGGGTGGGTTACCTCTCAATATCCAAACGCATAGGCATAAACCATAAATAAAATACATGTTTTCAGGCTGCATATGAAGAAGCCGTCCAGAGAGCATTGCCTACTTTTGATTCTGCTGCTGTAGGAATTGGTCCAGTGAGAAAGAAATATGAGGGGAATTTGCATAAATTCTTCAGAAAGGCATTTGAGGTATCCTACCTTCGAAGAAACTTGATTCCTTACTTAGAGCTGGATGGTTAAAATGATTAATTTCATAAATGCCTCTTGAACTTCGTAACTTGTTGTTCCCGAGTTCGTGGGAACATTCGCATGTCATATGTTAGATTGTACAGTAGATAAGATCATAAAGATTTATATAAATATAAATAAATATAAATGTACATATGGCACGCGTTAATGTAATAAACCAGAGAAAATGAAATATTGAGCATACAGTACCTGTGTTTACTTTCGAATATTTAGATAATATTTAGATAATACGTTTATCTAGGCTTTATGTTAAAAGGCAACTGAATGTGGAAATGTAGAGTCTGCCATGCAAATACCGTAGATAATACTTGCACACGTTTTAGTCCAGCCCTCATGAATATAAACCTTTTAATATTTAGCACGCTACTTGGTGTTCTGTGTGCTTGCATATGGCTACCCATCTTTCATGGACCGTATTATTGATTTGTCATTTATATTTTGCTGCACGTACAGGATATGTTCACTTAAGGATAGATCAAATGACCAAAATTATATAAAAAACCCTTTCTTGTCTGAGACTCGTATTCATCTGCACATAAACCACAATGCAGCTCAATTAACAAGAAAATCTCTAAATTGGAGAGAACACTCAACAAGAATACTCACTAAAAGCAAACGACATACTAACAGCAAACAAAGCCAAATTAATAAGCTAGCAGAAACGACAAGCGAAAATATAAAAGTGATGACTTTAGCTAAATCCTCCGACATCATTTCAAAGACAAGATCATACAGTAAGAGATACCACCAGATTGATATACAAGTCAATTGCAAACAAAAGCTCTCGCCCTTGGACTTTGGGGAGGTCAATGATATGAGCATATAGAACATTGCTTTTATCTCACTCCACGATATATATAGTTTTCACACATTCCCATCACTCTCTGAAAAATCCAATTTTTCCATGTACAACTTCAACAGCTTTGGCGCTTTCTCCCCGTGAGGCAGGACAAACTTCTGCAAGAACTTCTCCTCCGAAACTTTCAATAACGTATGAATGCTGACTTCCTTCTCCAGCAAACCATTTGACAACAAATATTGAAAAACCGAACACCTTGGGATTATTCTCTTCTTTAAGCTCACTGTAAAGAGTACAGGGTATTCAGCCATAAGGCAGGGCTTCCAACCCATTCCGTTGATGAGGAAATCCATAGATGTCATAAGCTTTTCTTCAGATATCATCATGCACCAAGGACTCTTTTTAAAGGCTTTCAAAACCTCTTCTTCGGACCAACCCCACTTCTTATATGCATTAATCTTGCTTTGCCACCTTGATTCGTCCATCATCCAAAATGCACCCACTGCTAAAACAAAGGTTGCTTTCGAAGCATCAAATCCCATGTCCTCAACTTTCTCCACAATCTTTCGGAATCTATCCGGACTCGTCACGAAATATTTAGGCCAGTTAAGCATCAGAGTAGGTACGTTGGAGTCGGGCACTCCATGTCCCCGCAAGATATCAATTTTAGGTGAAATATATTTCTCAATGTTGTATTTGAGAATGTCAGGACATCTTTTAACAGCTCTAATGAGCTTCTCCTCAGATTGAAACAAATTTCTCATGTAATCATAAGAGGGCAATATCTGATTATCTAAGCTACATGCCAAAACAGTAGGGAATACAAACGCCATTTTAGCGATTTCAGGGCCTGAAATGCCTTTGGATTCAAAAAATTCTAATTTCGGCAAAAAGGTTTTCTCGGTATTATACAAAAACACCACAGGAAAAGCTCTTACCAGACGTGATATTTGGGTCGTAGTGAAGCCACGATCCTCGAAAAACTTTATTACTTTATCGGGTTTCTCAGGAGAGTCAAACTTAACATACCTGGAAACTGATAAAGCAGCTTCTGAAGATAACCCAAGTGAGTTTCTGAGGTAAGACATCATGAAAGATTGTTGGTTCGGGGTGCTTGAGATCCATCTGAGAAGAACAACATTTGGGTCTCCCAGAAAACCCAGATTACTGGTTCTTGGTGGTGGTGAAGTTCTTACGATACGACACCCGCGAAGAATCGTTTTGAGGAGAAATTTAGACATGGGGTTTTTGACAAGGAGCCCAGCCGATTCTCTCTCTCTCTCTGTAATGAACAAATCTTAAGATTCGGCTATGACGGAAGAAAACCCCAAAAAGCGACATATTAGTTGCAACTTGCAACGTAGCTGTTTGTCTTGGCTACTCGCGGCATGTCGTTGTGAATGATGTTTAAACGACATGCCGTTTCTAGCTGCACAAGAAAACATTTGACTTTTTTCTAATATTGATTTACTTATTTTTTACTTACGACAAACTTTGCAGTTTTCTTTCCGTTTTCGGTATCTTCCCTTGATTCTGCCTTGAATGATGTAACTCTACGTCGTTTTTATAACTTATCCAACCTACAGAACTTCCAGAAAAAATGACATATACTCAAACTTTGTAGTTTTATTTCCGTTCTGGTTTACGAAATTTTTAAGAGATATATAGCCCGTTTAATTTACTAATTTGGGTTACATGTGATTTTATATAAGAAGTTTTTACTGTAGTAAAAAATTAAATGTGACTGTTTTTAAGAGCTTTTTACCGTAACAAAACTCGAATCGGTAAAATAAACGGAGCCATATTATTTTGGGGTGTAGGTCTAAAATAATCAGGGAAATTATGTGATTTTCCCCTACAAAACACATGATCATCTATAAGTATTAGGGGTATTATTTAAGCAAGAAGTGGCATCAAACTTTCACTTGTCACAAGCCTATTTACACTTTCTTCTGGCCACGTAAGCCTACCACTTTGCATGAGGTGGTTGGTAATAAGCCTACCACTTAGCATGAGATTTTGGTAATAAACCTTTCACTTTGTCACTTTGTCTATGAGTACTAGTTTATATAATGAATGTTTGGTAAATGACATAACCATCCATCGCTGAAAGATATGAATGTAGCAGTGACATGTGAACTCACAAACGGAAATGGACAACTTGGTGATGCTAAGACTTTTCTTTTCTTTTTCCACTTTGCATCAAAATAAAGTGTGATTTAGCCAGCCTAGAAGAACATCATTTGAATAGCTTACGGGACGTTTGTTTCTATATTCGTTTTTGATTCTTAATCATGATTCATGATTCTCTACAGTGTTTTCTCTCACAAAAAATACACGTAAAACGAGAATAATTCTGAATACATAAACCAAACGTTCTCATATGTATATTTAGGCATATTTACATATAAACTTCTCGACAATATTTTTGCTGTGTTGATGCTACTTATCCCATCATACCCTACTCTTAATGTATCTCACATCATTATAATTATTATTTTTATTTTAACTTGACTTGCGGACAAGGTTATATCTTTAACCTGTAAAGATTATTGTGTAATTTCTGACTACATATTCTAAACTATTTGATCTATGAGAAGTGTTGTTATATACGACCTCCCGTTTTACTTTTTTAACTAAAGGTCTCGTTTTATATGACCGCTCGTTTTATTTATATTATTTAGGTTTATCTTTCAACTTTTTTAATCCATTATTATTACATTTTAATTACGGTTTATAATAATCATCAAGAGTACCCTGAAAATAGTAAAACAAAATGCCTTCAAAAAGCACTTCAGATTGTTTTTACCATTAATTTAGAGTTCATTCGTTTAGTGCACGTTTCTCTCCCACAAAAAAGAAAAAAAAAAAAACTTGATAAATATATGGAACGATGGAAGTTTCTGTATCTATATTTTTAGTAGTCTATTTTTCAAAATACATGAATGAAAAAAAGAAAAACTAAAATAATTTGAATAGCTTCTAAAATGGACACGGGGTGTACATTCAGGAATAAATAAAAATGAATGAAAATTATTCTCACCTATTTTTTAATTTAGTTCTCATTTTCAAGTATTTGCTAATCAAATGCTATTTAAAAAAAAAAAAAAATTACTGTCGAGGACGTTTGGTTGAAAGATTCAAATAATATGATTTAAATTATTTTCAATTTACGTAATTTTTTTATAAGAGAAAATACTATAACAAACCATGAATCATGATTCGAATCAGCGAACGAACCATCTACCCAACATTATTGAAAAACAAGTGAAAACAAATCGCTAACGCCACCCCCGTGTTGTCTCACTCAGCTACATGCAAACGACAGAACACTTGAGAGAAAAAGTAACGACGACACGTCGCTTATTGACAACACACAAAACAACGACAGAACATGAAACGAACGACAGAGAATAGTGCCCTGCCTGCCTTGGTTTGCTGCACAGACCCAAAAATTCAAGAGTTTGAAGGAAACAAGGTTGGGTCTGAACAAGCGCACACACTCTCTCTCTCACCATTCATGGAGATCTCTAATCTCAATCCCAACCCCAACCCCAACAACTCCAACTCCCCTTCAGTGCGCGTCCTAACCCGTCCGTCGCCACCATTATCATCGTCTTCGTCTTCTTCATCTTCATCATCATCATCATCATCTTCTTCTTCTTCTTCAAATTCCCAACAAAGTTCGGCCATTAATGGCGGCGTGGTGGTGGTGGGTTTCATCGGCCGAAGACGACCCTCCATAACCACCCATCTGATAAACCGGATTTTGGACTCCCACGTCTTCGGCAACAATCTCGACACCAAGCTCATCTCCGACAAACAAGAGGACTGGTTCAAGTGGAGGAGAATCAGTTATTTCCATCAACGCCAAATGGGCATTCTCTTCTTGCACTTCTCTTCGGTTCTCTGCCCTGGATTTGATGATGGGTTTGGTTCCGCCATGGAAGACGACCACGACTTTGGGGATCTCCAAGGCCTCTTGTTCATGTTCTCTGTGAGTTTTTCTTATTTATTTTTTCTTTTCTGTTTTATTATTGTGCTTTTTAGTTTTTGCATTTTTGTGGAACTACTGACTTCTTTTTTTTTTTTGTCCCGTGATTTTGATGTTCTCAATCTAAGATTAGGAAAATGGAGTGTTTTTGTTTTTTCGAATAATTTCTTGTGTTTAGACTTTAGAGGCTGTTTTATGTGATAAGATGGGCACAAATTTTTTTAGCAAAAGAAAAATTAATTATGTGTCACTATTTTTCATATTCAATATAGTCGTTTGAGAGTATGCTTAATAAAGGAAAAGTTTAAAAAGAGAGTGTCTGTTTGTTTGTGTCGAAGAAGGATTTGAGGTTTTGATGTAAAAACAAAAGATGAGAAGTAAATATATCCTGCAATAACTCGCCTAGCAATGCAGGTTTGCCATGTTATAATACATATTCAGGAGGGGTCACGCTTTGATACTCAACTGCTGAAGAAGTTTCGAGTATTGCAAGCTGCCAAGCATGCTTTGGCTCCATTTGTGAGATCCCAAGCAACATCTGGATTGCCATCTAGGCCGCCTTCATCGTCGTCCTCACGATCAACCAAATTGACACCTGCCTCGAAGAGTTCTTCTCCCGGTAGAGGTCGTAACATATTGACTCGTAACGTTTCTGTGGTGTCGCTAATGCCAGGTTTAGGTTCATACACCTCTTTGTTTCCGGGGCAGTGTACCCCAGTGATGCTGTTTGTTTTTATTGATGATTTCTGTGATGTGCCAAATCCCAGTTGTAATGTTGAGGAGTCAACCAATGCATCCTTGCATAGTCAGTCGTCTAGTTTGAGCGGCTTGACGAGGCCAAACTTGCCCGTTAAGGTTTCTGGTCCAGTAGTTGTGCTTGCGCGATCCACGAGTAAATCTGAGGGTGGCTTTAGGAAGAAATTGCAATCTTCTCTCGAAGCACAGGTTCGGTTTTTGATCAAGAAATGCAGGATTCTTTCGGGTTTGGAAATCAGTCATGGTGGATCGAGAAGTGGAGGTGTTTCTAGTTCTGCACCTTTGTTCTCACTTGATTCATCTCGCGCTGTTGTGTTGTTAGATAGGTCGGCAAATCAGAGAGGTGAATCTCTCGAGTTTGCCACCGAACTTGTGGAAGATGTTTTGAATGGGAAAGCAACCTTGGATTCTCTTTTGCTTGAAATCCATGGTCAGATTGCTAACAAAGAGGATATCACATCTGTTAAGGAGTTTATCTTCAGACAATGTGATATTCTGAGAGGGAAGGCGGCGTTAACTTCTAATTCAAATGGCTCGGCAGCTGGGGTCGGTATGGCTGCTGCTGCTGCTGCGGCTGCTGCTGCCTCAGCTGCATCTGGCAAAACATTTACCACTCCCGAACTTCCAAATCTTGATGATTGGTTATCATCTAGTCAACAAATTCTTCATGGAGTTCTTTCTGCCAAAGGTGGGTGCTTAGAGGAAATTGAAATTAGCAAGAGAAAACCTCGATTAAGGAACCCACAGCCATCAGATGGTATTACTTTGAAAAATATGGATCCCCTAGATGTGGCAGTCTCTTGGTTAGAAAGTGGTAAAGGATTGAATGCAAAATTTTCGACTTTGTGGTGCGAAAGGACACTACCAGCTGCAAAGGAGGTTTATCTAAAAGACTTGCCGGCTTGTTATCCGACTTCACAGCATGAAGCACAATTGGAGAAGGCGTTGTGTGCATTCCAGTCGATGGTCAAGGGACCCGCAGTGCAATATTTTGCCAAAAAGTTAGAGGATGAATGCACGGCCATCTGGGAATCGGGCAGGCAGTTGTGTGATGCAGTTAGTTTGACGGGAAAACCGTGCATGCACCAGAGACATGATATCCAGAGTGGTGAAGCGGTTTTGGGAGCTGCAGCGAAATCACATTGTAGTGGATATGTTTTTCTTCATGCTTGTGCCAGTGGGCGTTCACGGAGATTACGGCTTGATCCTTTTGATTTTGAATCAGCTAACGTTACTTCTAATTGCTTTCCAGACTGTGACAAGCTCCTTCCTGCGCTTCAATTACCAAAGGTAACTGATGTGGGGCCCGTTCAGCCTTCCTCGTGGAGTTTGATTCGTGTTGGGGGTGCGAGGTATTATGAACCATCAAAAGGCTTACTTCAGAGCGGGTTTTCCGCCACTCAGAAGTTTCTTTTCAAATGGGAAATAATTACAGAGAAACAGAAAAGCCCAAATGGTTTAACAGCAGCTTCCATGCACCAAGATTCTGCGATTAAATTAAGTGCAGATCCCAAGTTTAAACATAAAGCGAGTACAGATATAAGGAGCACTGCCGACATGCAGTTGTACTCAGGGGAGGTACATTTGGGAGTTGAGAATCAAAGAAAACCCTCAGAGAATGTGATGTCTGATGATAAGAAAATCAGTTTCGGCAAAGGTCTACCCAATTTTACAATGAGGAAGCCTTTTTCTGAAGTTGTTGCTGGTTCAGCTGCTGGGGACTCTGGATTTCCTCCTCTCCAGCAGAGGAAGAAGCATTTATCAGGTTCAGATGAGAGTGTTAAGCATAACAGGACCGGAGATCCGAGTGTGGAACAGACTGGTAATAATCAAGGATCTCAAAGATCCAATGTTGCTTTATCCGCTCCCGATACCTTGAATGGGATCGATTCTAATAGTTTTATGAATGGAGATCCCTATCTACGTATAGGTAGTAATGTAGTTCCTGTTAACCATATTTCTGGTGAAAAAGTAAAAAAGAATCCTTCTTTTAAACATGCAACTGCATATGTGGGTTTTGAACATGAGTGTCCCCATGGCCATCGTTTCCTACTAAATCCTGAGCATCTTGATGAACTCGGAACATCGTATCAACTGCTTGAAGAAGCTCAGATTCCTTCTTCTGTTGACACTTTGGAACAAAAACCCACAAATCCTTCAAAACCGAGTAATAACAGTCGCCGTGGTAAAGTTCATCAAATTTCTAGTAGATTGAATGCTGGTACTGCTGATAAAGATAGCAAAATGGATAAGTCAAAGGAGCAGAGTCAAATAAGCAAAATGGATAAGTCAAAGGAGCAGAGTCAAATATCGTTTGGTATACCGACACTCTACGATTTCGTAAATGACATTCAAGGGAGCCTTGATTTTATCAAAATTGATGACGGTGGGCAGGCTTTCTCCATGTTGAACAGAAATTTACCAATCTACATGAACTGCCCGCACTGCAGGCATTCCAATAATAATAAAGAGCTACCAAAAGTAAAGTTTGCTGGCACAGTATCGCAGCTGCAAAGGCTTTTTCTGGTATGAAATAATTCTTGTAAGCCATTTCGTTTAATATAACTGTTCACTCACCGAGGAAAGAAAAAAAAAAACAAGTGTGCGATTTGTGTACGCATAGGATAACACTTGAGATTCCTTTAAAAGGGCCTGTGCTTTTAGTTATACTTTGTAAGTTAGATTACTGATTATATATATATATATATATATATTTCTGAAAAAAATTGTTGGACTTCTTTATTTTTGTTTTAGATGACTTTTAGTTGGACTGTTTTTGAAGTTGCATTTCTTTTCAAAAGAAAAAAGAAAGATGACTAATAATCTTTTTATTTCATGCATGGCTGTTGTTGCAGTAGGAAAGTTACAGGCTTACATTTCTTTAACATGGAAAGAGGATAAACAGAACTGAAAGTTATTTATTATTATTATAATTATTATTGTTATTTTTTCATGTGAACATTCAATTACCAAATGCCTGAATGTCGGTTTTTCTCTGCAGGTCACACCACCCTTCCCGATTGTATTAGCAACATGCCCAGTTATACAATTTGAGGTATGTTGAACCTCCTCGCAAGAGTTGTAGAAGTATCAGCACATTTTATTTATACATTACATCATTTATTTGCAAGCGAAATGCATCTCTGTTACTTGCTTAATACTCGACCCATTGATCTGTTCCTAGACACAAATTTACCCAGTGGTCGTATTTTTCTGTCCAAACTGCTTATGACAATATTCTCATCCAATTGTGTATTTCAAAAGCTTTTAATAAATAGCTTGTTGGTACATATTTTCCCTTCAAATCGGTGATGTTGGTCAATTGTTATGTGAATCTCAAACGCATAAATTTTTCCCCTTTTTTTCCTTTTTTTTTTTTTTTTTTTTTTGCTTTGTAGGCATCTTGTCTACCTGCATCGATTCAAGAATGCGAGCAAAAGCTACAATTTAGTCTGGGATGTGAAGTGGTTTTACCACCTGAAAGCTTCCTTACACTTAAGCTCCCATTTGTTTATGGTGTGGAAATGGAGGATAAAAGTCTACATCCTCTTAAGTACTTTGAACATCAACCAGAAGCTACTGCTTGGATCTCTAAAGGGACAATATTGCAGGTTGTGACCAAAAGAAATGGCGTTGGCCAATAAGAATCTCACTCATAGTTAAAGTTATCGATATTTGGAAATTGGCCGGTACTATGATATACATTCCCTGTATGTCCACAACGCAGTGATAGTTGACCAACTCCATGAAAATGCAGGTGAGTGGAAGGAGAACATTTAAAAACTTTACTCGCGTTGTTTTTCTTTTGGACAAAGTTTCCAGATGGATTGATTCTTTCATTCTTATATATGTCCCATATTCTACGTTCAATAGGAATGAAAGGGAACATGAGGGAGAAAAAAAAATGCGGAAGATAGAAAATAAGAGGGATAAAAAAAAGAGTGCTTTTTATTTTTTTTCTTTATGTTGTTTGGTATGATAGTTATGAATGGAAGTGAATTTATCTTTTATTGTTTGGTATTGCATGTGAAATAGGAGAAAATAAGTAGTCTTATTTAGGGATTTAGTATTTTACCACTTATTTTAGGGAATTAGTATTTTACCAATTTCGTAAGGATTAAAATGTGTGGATCCCACAATAGTTTTTATCTCCTTCATTTTCCTTCCCAAAATCATCCCTACTGAATGATCTATGCATCTTCTTCACAGTAATTTATCATATTCTTCCTTCTCTCTTCTTTTCAGTGTGAATTTTTCTTAGTTCTTGCTCCTTTGGAACCCTTCTCCTCTATGCATCTCCTTGACAGTAATTTATCAAATTATTTTATTACTTTTGGAAACTTTCTTGTGTCAAGTACATACACAAAGGTGTATAAACAGTTTTGTGTGTCCATGGCGCTAAGTTATTAGCTCGGTTTTTCTTTCAGGAAATTTTCGTATTGGGAAAGTACATGATGCAGCTTCAAGGAGCACACATGAGCGGATCTGAAACACTCGTTGGCCAGGATCTGTAGATTATTGTCAATCTGACGGACAATATGAGCATGAAGCTCAATTGAGCTGGGACACTGTAGCAGAACTACTGTTGCATTTCCCAAATAGCTTTCAGTGTGGCAATCAGTGATGATTTTATTTATTTATTTATTTCGAGGTTTCCTTTCCTTGGCTGATAAAATGGCTTCTTTGTTGAACTGGAAAGTTATGACTGAAAATATACACATGGGGTTTCCGTTTACGGATGATACCGATCGTGCATATGATGACTGGTGAGTTTCAAATGCAGGATAGGAGCATTTGAAAGTGCAGTTTATGTCAGGTAATCTGTTTCGATGACTTGTCCGTGCTAAAAAATGTTACCAGTTTTTCTGTACTAATCAGGCGGCCTGTTGTTTAGGTATATTTTGGACCTGGTAGCTTGCGTCTTCGGTCAGAGCTCTTCCAAGCAGTTTGGTAGGATCATTGTTCTCTGCATATTCTTTATTTGTATACACATATGTCTTCATCTTAAGACTATTTTGTTGTCTTGATTCGGTGTTAAAAGTTTCATGTTCAACTTTCCTTCTCCAGGGAAAACCAAGTTGGACTGTTTTTCAATGGGCATTTTACTACTCGATTTTGAAGAAAAGCGACTAAGGCCGAAGAGTGAGTTTGTGGGTTCCGCTAGAAAGAAAAGGCTACAGAGTCCAAGAACAGAAGATCCAAATGGAGTCCTTTAACTAAGAACGTTACTGGTTGAAAATGCTAAATTTTTTAGTAATATTGTTTTTTTTCCAAATTTTAGGGGCACCTTTAATTTGCCAATTGCCGTGAGTGTGTTAATAATATCCAAATTGGATTTTCCTTCTAAAGGTTTCTAGATTTGGGAATTTTACTTCTAATTTGCCAATTACTCTTTCAACTAGTAGCATTATGACAATTCAGCCTTAAGTTCTTTTAGTCTAATCAGTCTAAAATGGTTTTGTTTGTAATTTTGGTCCTTAAAACCTAAAATTGATAACTACAGAAATAGTGATGTGAGGTGCATGTTCTCTTTATTTTGTAACTCATAACTAAGGTATCAAAATTTTGTAACTTCACAATTTGATAACTGCAGAAATAGTGATATGAGGTGATAGTTTCAATGATATCAAAATTTTGTTGGCTCATAGTAAATAAAAAATGAAAGATTGAATAACTTTGTATTCGAGTAATGAAAGGCAGTTTGAAATTATTACATGAATCAAATTGCAATTTATTGATGGATCATTCACATATATGCATCAAAAAATGAAAAAATAAATAAATAAACTACTAGCTTCTAACTCAATCACTGAGGAAAAACTACATACTAACTTTCATATACTCCTCTAAAATAGATGCACCTTCTTTTTCTTTGTTCTTCAACCGATGAATTATATTGGGCAAGGTTTTTGATGGCTTTTCGCGTAACATTGCTATCATATTCGAGCCCCATACACCGTATATTTGTTCAATGCATCTTCGATTTATAGGAGATAGGTATTTATCGATAGATTCTTGAATATCCAACTCATCATATTCTGATGTTTGGAGCTTAGCCAACAACTCATTTGCCTTCTCAGCAGCTAATTTCATACGTTCGTAAAAAACCTCCATTTCATATCTATCATCCTCTAAACGATTTAATACTTTTTCCGAGTCACTTTGTTCAATATGTTTAGAGGTGAATTTGGCAGTTATCATAACGCATTGCACGTTCAACACATCCCTACAAATCTCGGCCATCAATTCGTCCTCTTCCTTCTCACTTGATTGATCCTCATCAGATTTGACCTCACTTGTTTGATCCTTCAATCCTTTGCTGTCACAATCCGATTTGGCCTCACTTGTTTGATCATTCTCAGGTAAAAGTTGATAACTTGGGGTGCAAGTTTCGTTGCTTGAGACCTCAGCCGAGGACTTAGTAGCCGTTGATTGTTTCAAGAAAAGCCTTTTAAAATCTTTACACAAATTAGGGCGAGTAGCAAAAATTTTCTCAATATCATCACAAACCCGTCTTTGATCTACATGTCCCTTCCAAAAGGATTTCAAAGCCTGTAGAAACTTTTTGTACATATTCACATTGCCGTTTTGAGAACAAAGCTTGATCTTATTAAGAAAACCCATCGCTTGACGTTCTAGAGATTTCCTATATGTATCTTCTTCCATAGCAATATTACTCCTAATTAAACGTCTCAAAGAAATAAAGGCAAAGAGATGTTATTAAAAAATTCTGAACCAAGTGAATTTATATAGTTAATTATTGCAAGTTCGAAGTGTATTGGAATACTAATTCCTCAATATTATTACGACTTTCGTCGAGATATCGAGATACAGGATCATGTTATCCAAATGCTTTTTTTATTAGCAAAAATAAAATAAAATAATTTAAAAAGAAAATTACAGAATTTTATATGCCTTTCTCTCAGAATCCCATGCCGACTCGGCTCAGTTTAATTCAACTCAACTCGTCTGGTCTTCGCTCACCCATGGCTGCCGAGTGTCCCTCGTCTCCTCCCTCGCCCTCCCCTTCCTCTCCGATGACAATCGACGGCTCCGACCGCGACGCTGCCCTCGCGAAGTCCGCCTGGCTCAGCCGCCGCGAGGTCCTCGAACGCCGTTGTCGCCTAGCCAAGCAGCTCGCTCGCGTCTACCGGCACCACTACTGGGCTCTCATGGAGGATGTCAAGGCCAAGCACAGGGACTACTACTGGACCTTCGGCAAGAGCCCCTTCAAAGACGACGAGACCGCCGCCGCCGCCGCCACTGCCGAGAACGGAAAGCTAGGGTTAGGGTTAGGGAATTCCGGTGGAGGAGACGATATCAAGAGGTGCCAAGTGACAGGGTGCAAGACGAAAGCAATGGCGTTGACGAAGTTCTGTCACGCTCATATTCTCAACGATCCTCAGCAGAAGCTCTACAGGGGTTGCCAATACGTCATCAAGAGGTACTTTTGTTCTTCCTTTTTTATTATTGTTGTTTTTTCCTCTTAATAATCGATTCTTTTCTGTTGGTTGCTTGATATTCTTTTGATGTGGTGGCTGTTTGGTTGCTGAGAAAGTAGTATTGATTTTTGTTTCTATTTTGTTGGAGGTAATAGGAAGATATATCTTGTTGTTTTCGTTCTTTGAACTGTGAGTTGTGATTTTAGTAGTGAATTGTTGAACAAAATTGCTTGTGTAGAGAGTTTTCTTTTCTTTTCTTTTCTTTTATTAATGCAAGTTAACTGAGGTTATGAAGTTAGAAAGTTGTGGGTAGTGTTGGGTTAAGACTTGAAATTATATTAAAAAGAAATTAGTTTGATTCCTGTTATATTTGAGAGAAAACGAGATTGGATTACTTTTCGAAGAGATTAGGCTTGAGGGGTTATGTTTACTACGCAATTAGATTAGGTGATCCAACTGTGCTGTGCTAGATATATGGACGGATTTGATATTAGCATAAGACCTTAAGAAGTTCTAATTTCTACTTAATCGTATGTGGATTGGAGTCCATGATAATGCATTTAGTAGTACTTCCACACAACAGATAGAATGTATACAATGAGCAGAATTTCTGGTTTTATATTTGTGATCAGTGAGTTCTTATGTTAATTCTTAGAAGCTTGCACGAGCATGCAGGTTCCTAAGGGCTAAGGGTAATAAAACGTAACCAATTTTGAGGTTTGTAGCTTTGGAGAAAATTAGAAATACATAGGTGGTGGTGACGGAGGAGGTGGCGACTTATAGTAGTATGGAGACTGAGGAGATGGAGATGGAGGGGGCGGAGACTTGTATAGTAGTGTGGTGGGGGTGGTGAATTGTAGTAATACTTGGGCGGTGGGGCTGACGACTTGTAGTAATACATAGGTGGTGGTGGTGGTGGTGATTTGTGGTAGTAGTAGTTAGGCAGTGGCAGTGTTGGGTATTTGTTAAACTATGGAGGAAGTAGTCGTGGCAATGGTGGCGTAGGTGGAGATGGAGAATTGTAAGGCAAGTAAGGCCTATAGTCACTTGCAGCTACATTAGTGGTTATCAAGCAGAATGCCAAGACTAAGGCTAGACACGGCCAAAAGTTGGCCATCTTGGAGTAGAACTGCCAACTTTGAGAAGCCCCAAAATTTTTGGTTACTTAATAATTGCTGGAAGATTGGAGTATTGTAGTGAATTAGAGGAGGGTGGGCAAGTTTATATAGTGATCCTCAAATGAGTGAAGCATTTATTTAATGATTTAGGAAGTTTGCCATCTTGATCTTATACCTTTTATTAAAGCTTTCAATTTCTTATTTGAATTTTTCATTTTAAGAATATGAGGTAATGGGAAGCCACTCATTCTCTTATTCATGTATATGTGCACGTTGAAGGATCTTACTACATTAATTACTTGTGAAAAGACTATATCAAGAGAACTACTTATAAACGAATTTTTAGTAATTCTGAATTTGCAAAAGGGGGCATATGAAAATATCGAGGCAGATATAAGCTTTTATATTTAAGTAGTAACTTTGAAATGTTTGTGATAGTTTTGAATTTTGATTATAACTTGGTTCAGATTTATATATAGTGCAAACTCGTACATGGTCAATGCCATACCTTGCGAAATAAGTGCTAATACAATATGTAGGTTCTTTATTTATCTATTTATGTTTTTTTCCCCCCTTTTCTTGGTTGGTTTGGCGGGAACCTGTTAAACCTTTCAACAGGAAATATATAAGAAATAATTTGTCGACTGTGATATTTTGTGGCCAAAACATTGTGCTTTTTTATCTGTTCAAGACAATGTCAAATTGCAATACAAAGAGTCAAAGATGATAAACAAGCAGGTACTTATGATGTCGATAGATCAATTTGGAAACATTAGTGCATAAAAATGTTACTGGTGAGAATTGCATGTTTTATTTGTCGTCGCCTGATTGCTAGCATTTATTATCATCATTTTATCTGTTCGCAGATATTTTACAATTTCATGCCAAGTAACGATTAAAACAGAAGTTTAAACCAGCTGAAACAGATAAAGAAGCTCTATACTCACCAGATTGAATGACTAGAAAGGTGCCGATTGTTGAACCTTGGTGCCGATTTACTTTTGTCAATGTAATGAAATAGTTCAGACTTTCTTGAGCGCGTATGTTATGTGTGAGTTTTCACCGTGTTTTGCCTTTTAAGTTTCACTGTTTATTGCATGGAAATGACTATTCGGTCAAGTTTTTATTGAATATGATCTATATGTACTTTCATTTAGTTAGTAAAACATACTTTCCCGTGTTTCAGTATGCAATCAGGGCCTCTTAAATGCTGTAAACCAATATTGAGATCCACAGCCCCTCCTCTCTGCCCCACTCATTTTCAGAAGGGTGAAAAATGTCTCATAAGGGACCTAAGAAAGGCCGGTCTTAATGTCTCTTCACTAACCAACCTTGCTCCGAAATTCCACGTCATTGTTGCCGAGTACATCTGCCAAATCCAAAGCAAAAGGAGAGCTGCTCGAAAGGCTAGCGTCCGTAAGGTGGAGCCGAAGTAGGATATGAGCCAGATGTTTCTTAGGCTTTTGTGGTGGTTGTGATATTTCTTGATACTGCGGCGTAGGGAGAGAGATTTTCTATCAGGACGATAAACCGACTCGCCTCGGAGAACATATTTTGTGCGTAGGCAAGAATCAAGACACTTCATTTCTTCATGACTTCTTCGCTGTAATCTTTTTCAGCAAGAATTGATGTAGATTGATGAATAACCTATGTCTTGACGATTTTGTTGTCTGTAATTAGATCAATGTTTTCGAAATTCTAGTTGTGGATTGTATAATCACTCATTTATTATTGTGCACAAAA